ACACATTCTAGAAAATAATTTTGGGTAAGGGAAATAAGAAAATGAAAAGAAATTCTTAACAATTATTTATTTGAAAAGATATACTCGGGGTTAAAGTAAGATATTGTTGTTGATGAAAATCTCTGAAATTATTATCATTTCGCTTTTAGCTATATATTCTGAAAGATATTATTAAATTCATACCACATATATTTGCTGACATAACATTATAACTAATCAATCCTTTAGGGAAATGTTGCGATGGTTTAAAGGATTACTGTGTTGTAAGGTGTTAGGTTTAAGGTATGAACCCTTTCACCACTGTAGACCATAATGGACTCATCCAAATCAATGCATGGAAGAGTTTACTGAAGTTATATAGGGGTGAAAGGGTTAAAAGACTTGATAATATGACATGAAATTTGGTAATACTTCTACCCAGAGGTCATATTGATATTTGGTTCTTGTCCCGTGCAGAAATTGTTTAAATAACTTATACGCCCCACTTCAATGTTATTTGAACTTATTACCGTTGTCGAGGTAGAATGTCTACGGACTAATCTTCACCTAGGGTCAGCGAAAATGATACTGGTTATCTTAAGCAGTCCTCTTTTTTGTAATGTTTGAAGTTTTTAAATTGTGTGTGTTTGGTTTATCGTTGGCTATCGTCACTCTGAATTTACACAAAACAGTATAATCTGTGTCAGCCGAACTCTTGCATTCATTAGAAAAAGAATTCAAACAAGTGTAAGAATACTAAAAATTCATGAAAAGGCCACGTCAGTTGTACTTGTATTTTGCCTGACAAAAATCTCTTACAATAACTAAAATGACCATTGAAAAACTGTTCATGCTGTTTATATTTACTATAGACAAGTGGGTATTATAAAGAAATTGAACTTTTTCATGTTTATTTTGCAATATTTTAGTAACATTTCATTTCAGATAAATATAGCCTGTTTGGGTTTTGACACTGTTATAAGCACAAGTTAAAAGAAAAGATGGGGAAGGTGTCTCATAAAAACATCCATTCAATCACAGTGTTCAAATAGGATGCATAAATCAGTGACTTTTTCCTAAAACGATGTGGTGGGGTTTCAGGCAATTTTCAAGAAGTTGTTGAAATTCTTAATGGGATCCAATAATGCATTTATTTTTTTACTGAAATGGAACCAGATTGGAACAGTAATGATTTAATCAAACCTAGAAAATAAGTAAGGTATATCAAGTTTCGTGGAGGACAGTGTTTTAGGCAGTCGCAATAAAAACAGATACAGATGCCTACAATGGAATAAATATTGTATAATGTAAAGTTAGAGGGAGCTGTGGTGTCACTGCTGTCGTGTCTGAGCAGGAGAAAGAGGACCGGAGAGACAGCCAAGCTCCATCTGTTTGCTAAATTACACTGTTGAGGTAAGGGGTGTCATTTATCTGGAGGTCGATTATGCATATTTCTGTTGCTATTTCTTGAAAAGCTTGATAAAACACCCATCAAGATAGCAGGGCAAAACGGGATAACGTGTATTGGAGACGGGGAAAAAAGAATGTTTGACGTAGAACTTGTATTGATGAGGAAACAATTCCGATATTATTACAGGTTCATGCTGCAGTCAAATGCACTGAAAGCTTGTAAGAGAAGGGGAGATACAAGCATAGAAGTGACTGTGATTAGATTTAATCATTAATCTTAGAGAAAACATAGTGGAAGCTTTTTGATCGAAACATTTAGGGTTTCCTCCCAGCGATGAAGTTACATGTGAAAAAGTCTCGCTGTCTCTATTTGCAGAATTGACAACTAGGACGAACAGATAACAAAAGCTTTGAAAGTCACATAGAACTTTCAATTGTTTCATTTGATCTATGATTGGAACAGTGTTGAAAGAATTCCCTGTTTGCAAATTTGTTTTTGTGACATGGAAGATTGGAAAGACAAAAATGAGGAGAAAAACAAGATTGGTGTTTGAGGAAAAACAGGAAGGTGGCAGTATCTACTAACCAACTAGCTGAAGCCAATAAATATCATGCTTACATCAATCTTCAAAATCAGACGGCAAGGGCAGTTACATTACCATTTTGATAAAAAAAAAAAATGAAAACAATTTGGAAAATACAAAAGACTGCCAATTTTGATCTGCCAGAAATATAAAAAATGACTTTTATTTGCCATATGCATCTCATTATGAGGCTCTGAATCTTGTTTCTGTAGAACTATTTAACCTTGACCTTGGTGAAGTAGAGGTGAAAGTTTGACCCCTGAACAGGACATGTAATGTAAACCATATGTTGTAGTACATGATGTGCATGTTTCAGAGGCTGTAAACAGGTTATCTGGACCTAACTGGTCATTTGTGGCCAATTATAAATCCATTTAGTGACCAGATAAGCCTTGATAAGTACCTCCATTACTCTAGTATTTTGGGATGTATTTTACCCCCCAACAGGATCCTTTAGTTAGAGGTTTAGACACCTCCTTCCTTGGGGCAGGAGATACAATTAAGATATATCATACAATGGAATCTGTTTACATACATACTTGTGGTTCATAAAAATACATGTACATGAACCCAGTACTTAATGATGAAGGAGATAGAAAGTTTAACATATGCATCGATATCATATCTGTGTCCAAAAGTTCAGCATATGCATCATATCTGTGTCCAAGCGATACCCAACTGTCCAGATATAATTGTGAGGTCGCGTGTGGTTGTGCCATTCTTCCTCATTTACATGACCATTATAGGGGACATTATCCTATATTAGGGTCAATCATTTCTTGTCAGCCCGCGTGTAAATGATACAGCCGTTATCAGGCTCGTACATGATCTTGTATACATGCCCATTAAACTCTGTTTCAATATCTGGATGTTTCTGTCAATATATATATCAAAGTAGCTGTGAAAATTCTGATGAAGATTCAGGCAAAAGAATATCATTATCACTACTTTGGCACTTACCATAGTTATCCTACAATAATCCCAAGGGGGCAACACATTATCTCTCTTTGGTGGGCTTATTACCAAGCATGGGCTTATTGCCGGATAAATACGTTAAATGGTCTTTCAGTCTGTATGATTTTTTTCCCCCGCTGTTCGTCGACTTGAGTAAGTGTAATATATGATGCTAATGTAAATTAAGAGCCTGTAGACTTTCTCAAGTCAAAAATATAGATAGGAAATATGTTATAATCATATAGACCAATGGTCAGTCAACATAGGTACTGTAATTGCTTATTTTATTATATAATAGATTTCTTTCCATGATTATTCAAGCTCAGGCCCTTTGGGACATATTTTATCAAGCTCAGGCCCTTTGGGACATATTTTCACACACAACCACCATAGGGTCCCCCACTCCAGACTCGTTGGATAAACGTTAGATGTTGGTAAACATTTTTGAATGTTATTTCATTGGTCAATCTTTGAGTATTGACGTCACATCACAATGCTTTTTTGTGCTGTCATTTTCAATTGTGAGATTCATGGCAATACAGTTAACATATGGTTTTCATAGATATCAAATGAAACTAATGGGACTAATAGATAGCCAGATTCATGATGGCTGGTTATCATGTTTATCTAAATCTCATTAGCTAATTTTAAAATTGTAAAAGACATTCGGTAAACCTTGTGTCTTAATACAATTTGAAAAACTCCAGATTGATAAACATGATAACCAACCATCACTCGTTGGGGAACCTCTATTTCTTTCTGTTTGCATTGTCTGTTGTGACAAAAGGTCTTAAACTGTTTCATAAATAGAGTACCAAAAGTTTTGCTGAACTAGATAACAAAATAAAAGTAATATATTTCGGTAGAAAATTCCACCTAAGTTAATAGTCTCGTATCATATCAGTCTTTGTAATGTCGCTGTTCTCAGTGAACTTCAATTGCTCCTGAACTCCAAATAATCTCTCAATCCATCACGCTCTCCTCCGTCCAAAGTGGAATCTAGAAAACTATTATGAGGCTTCAAGACTAATGTGGATTTATCACATATAAAGGTTTCACTTGTATCAACAAGCTCTTGAAGGAGATTTGATGTAATCTTGCCAACACACTATCCTCTGGTAAATGTACACGGCCAAAAAAACAACATTTTATCTCAACACATGTTTCAGCAGGCTTTTTCTTCAGCTATGTTATGGCAACGGTATGTGACTGTTTTTGCCCATGAATTTTTTCAACATCTGGTATTTTAATGTAGTTTTATTGGCTCGACTCATTTGCAGTTCCTATTTTGCAAATCCAGTGAAGCGATTTTTGCCACAAAATTTCGGATTTTGAATGGGTTTTCTTTGTGAATGAGACAAATGCCTGCCGAGAGTATTCTTTATTTCTGATTGGATTTTTTTTTACCAGTACCAATAAACTTAAAACATCTCACACATTTGCTGAAAATATTTCATTAAAACAAAAATGCAAAGTCATCATGAATTGGCTGTCGCAGTTCATTTTATGAGATTCACGACCTCTAGAATGTAGTTCATACCAGACCTATACTAAATGCATGTCAAAAGAAATTATCAGCTTGTAAAATCTCAAAATCCTAGGCTATACAATTTAACTAACAATTCCATAAATGTTGAGATTTAAGGCATCATTTCACAAAACCTATTTTATCTCTCTCATCTTTTCTACCTTTCTATTGGATGAGTTCTCTTGACTAGGGATACAGGGATGATTCTATTGTTGGATGAAGGGGGTTCCTCACAGTTTGATAAATGTTAATAATAATTTTTTTTAAGAAAAATGAAAGGCAAAACAATATATTTATATATATTTTGGGCTTAACAAATAATCAGACAATGTTTTTGCCAGGGATTTGTGCTGGAGTTTTGTACTAAATTTAATATTATTTAAGAGATTTTTAGTTCTGTTTTTTTTAAGTTAATTTGTAGTTCTGTAAAAAGAAAGTGTTCTGGGGAAATAATTGAAATGAAGTATATAAGGTCTGTATGTGTTTGTAATTCAATAGCTATCAATTTTATATGCATTTTAATAATTTTACATTTTCTCTTTCAGAATTTTTTACAGAGCTTCTTGATAATGCAAAGAAGGATTTGCATGAAATGTTCGTGAAGACATACGGTCTTTTATATCAACAAAACTCTGATGTGTTCGCGAATTTATTCAAGGACTTGCGGAGTTACTACAAAGGGACGGATATAAGTCTCTTTGATGCCTTAGACAATTTCTTCCGTAACTTACTAAGGAAGATGTTCATGTTGCTGAACCCAACACTGGTGTTCGACGAAACGTTTCTTCGGTGTGTGACGAGCCAGATGAGCAAATTGAAACCTTTCGGGGATACACCTCAACAGTTATCATTAAAAATAAAACGATCTTTCGTAGCAGCACGGACTTTTGTGCAGGGATTGGCTATTGGTCGGGATGTAGTTCTTGAAGTACTGAAGGTGAGATAGTGGACAATTTGTATAATGATATATGAATGTCAGCACTTAAAGTATTAGTTGAATACTGTTATCAATGTGAACATTTTTATGATCAACTTTTTTCAACAATTGATATATATTTTTTTAATTTTCATGCCAAGTTCTGTTATTTTGAAAAAAATCTGGATTTTTTGGTGAAAAAACTATTAATCAGCATTACCATATAATAAATACAAAATATTTTTTTAATTTGAAAGGATGAAACACTTGTTGATTGGTGGCTCCCAGCTGATGAGTCAGTGGTTTTGTGCAGCACACGCTGTATTCAACACAATACAAAATAATTTTGTAATTGTAAACAAAAGTTAAGAATGTGAACTGTTCGAAAACTTTGAAACATTCTTATGTGTTATTGTTTCCGTAGATACCCCCAACAGAGGCGTGTACCAAGGCGCTGATGAGGATGATGTACTGCCCCCATTGTCGGGGCCTCACACAAACCAAGCCCTGCAATAACTACTGTCTCAACACCATGAAGGGTTGTCTGGCTCACCATGCTGAACTTAACCAGCTCTGGAACGATTACATTGGTATGTACTTTGATAATTAAACTTTCTCTAACCAACAGAATTTGGCTAAAATAATATCAGCATATGGCCTTATCATGGCATAAAATATCAGTCTATAATTAAAAAAAAATCCAACCTTAACTTTTGACCTTGTCTAGGCAATCACATTTACAATTTACAAGCCTTGACCTCTGACCTTGAAATTGTCTGGCAATGATACTTGAGTAAATGTTTAGACTTTCAAATTTTGACCCTTGTGTGATTATTGAATATTAAGGCTTTTGACATTGTCTGATCAATGGATTCACTGTTTACACAGTGTGATTTCTCAATACTATTCCTTGATGAGGATGCTCCTGGTCTGAAATACTGGTTGGCTGGTGAAATATCGTTTTGTCCTTCAAAGCTATTATGAATGTTTTAATTTATAACAGTAGAAGTGGTATTGTTTTTCTCCTTAATCTGTAATGGGATGTTATCTTGCATGGAGTTGGAATGAGAGAGGCCTACATGGACGAAAATTGTGTCATGTTTCAAGGTCACTTTGACCTACTTTATTTTCAGTATTTTGTGAAACACTTTTCAAACCATTTTACACACCATTATACAATGATTTAAGGAAATTTCCCTGTAAATTGTTTTTTTCCGCTATTAACCTGAACAGGCAAATCATTTTGCTGTTGCTAAAAGTAATTAGGAGTTGTCAAAGAAATGCTAAAGACATAAATTCTGCTGTATTCCATTACAACCCATTGAATCCATCAGTACTGAAGTATAATGAATTAGGTGCTCTGTTATTTTTTCATGAAGAAAATTGAGAAATAGTCTAAATTACCCACATATTAGACAGCCTTTTTTCGTTCAACATCGATTTTTTTTCTTTTTCTAGCAGCTCTTATAGATCTTGCTACTCGGTGCCACATAACCTCATGCTTATAATTTTCTGTCATAATCTCTAAGCTATTTCGATATCATTCTAATTGCGACAGTCATAACAAAAAAGTGTATAGAGTGGGTGAGACTGTCGCGAGAGCTCACAGTCATATTCCCCGTGTCTATGACCAGACGACGATGAATAGGCGTCTAGATGAGTCACTCCCAACTGTCAACGTCTGATTGGCCTAGAATTAATGAAAACCAATAAATAATTTACACAAACTTTGTCATAAAAATTGAATAAATTTGTCTTTGGAGTTCCCCATGCTTGTAGCTAGCTAGCTATCTCGTCTCTGAATAATCAATTTTATCAAATTTTGGTCGGATCAGCAGAGTTTGTTGAAGTATTCTGCATGCCTGCCTTCCTGGAGAAATATATGAGACCCATTAGCCAGACAGACTCAAAAGATTTATAGTCATTGTCTAATTATCATATTATGTTAAAATGCAATTTTTTCATGGAAGCAAACGTTACAAATTAATGTTTTCATAAAACATGTCTTTGTAAAGTGATACCCGTGATTTCTGCCAAGTAGGAAGAATTTGCAATGATACCTATTTAGATTAGTTTTCATTTGGGATTTGATATTTTACAAAAAATGTGATTAAGGCTTCTGCATATCGGCTGGTTTTCTTTTGAATGATTTCTCTGATTTTCGGTAATTCAGTTTCTGTCATTTAAGCAGAAAACATAGAACAATAACACGCAGTGAAATTAGATTTAAACGCAATTCGGATAGGGTTCTGTTTAAAATGAAGAAAATTGACAGTGTAAAAGCCCGACCAGTATTATGCAATCAAAAATCTGCTTTCAATCGCAGTGCAGACAAATTGTTAACCGAGATTATAATGTTGAAACCAATTAGCATGAACAGTCATTTGGGATTCATTAAGCTACGATAATCCAAATTATCTCAAATCTGAAACTGACAATGAAATCACCAGCTTGTTGTGATGGGAATCTAATGAAAATGACTATTTTTTGAGGCAGAATTGAAACAGAAATGTAGTTTCCTTCTGGTTGTATAACACAGTTATAATGAGATGGGAGCCTTTCAGCAGAAGGATGTTATAATGAGATAGGAGCCTTTCAGTGGAAGGATGTTATAATGAGATAGGAGCCGTTCAGCAGAAGGATGTTATAATGAGATGGGAGCATTTCAGCAGAAGGATGTTATAATGAGATGGGAGCCTTTCAGTAGAAGGATGTTATAATGAGATGGGAGCCTTTCAGCAGAAGGATGATATAATGAGATGGGAGCCTTTCAGCAGAAGGATGATATAATGAGATGGGAGCCTTTCAGCAGAAGGATGTTATAATGAGATGGGGCCCTTTCAGTGGAAGGATGTTATAATGAGATAGGAGCCTTTCAGTGGAAGGATGTTATAATGAGATGCGAGCCTTTCAGCAGAAGGATGTTATAATGAGATGTGAGCCTTTCAGTGGAAGGATGTTATAATGAGATAGGAGCCTTTCAGTGGAAGGATGTTATAATGAGATAGGAGCCGTTCAGCAGAAGGATGTTATAATGAGATGGGAGCATTTCAGCAGAAGGATGTTATAATGAGATGGGAGCATTTCAGCAGAAGGATGTTATAATGAGATGGGAGCATTTCAGCAGAAGGATGTTATAATGAGATGGGAGCCTTTCAGCAGAAGGATGTTATAATGAGATGTGAGCCTTTCAGTGGAAGGATGTTATAATGAGATGGGAGCCTTTCAGCGGAAGGATGTTATAATGAGATGGGAGCCTTTCAGCGGAAGGATGTTATAATGAGATGGGAGCCTTTCAGTAGAAGGATGTTATAATGAGATGGGAGCCTTTCAGCAGAAGGATGATATAATGAGATGGGAGCCTTTCAGCAGAAGGATGTTATAATGAGATGGGAGCCTTTCAGCAGAAGGATGTTTAAATCTTGAACACATTCAGTCTGAGTAGTTCTCATTTCAACGCATTTTCTACACCTGATGAAATATTCATCAAGTGTTGATTGTTTTGCCACAATACCCATTGTTGTGTCATCCCTTGTGATGGTAGCTGTGACACCTACATCCGGTGGTATATACAATTTCAGAGGTCTTTTAAACGCGAAGTTTATTGACGACACCGACCTCCTGCCACTCCAAGTATTTACTCCGGGTCAGCCCAAGAAACTTTATAACCAGTAGGTTATCTATGCAGGTCAAGCTTTTCAAAACCCCATTTCCTTAACTACAAACCAATTTTTTCCCCGTCTCTATTTCTATTGATTTGCGGTTCAAGTTCGCTATATAAATGGGTTAGTGTGTTTTACCACACAGGCCTTCTGCTTCACACAAGTTAGGCAATATCGTCGGACTTTTACAGAATGTGTCCTTTATACTTTCTTTGCCCGGAAATAGTTAGTGTGTCGATGTGTCATTGCAGTTTAATAAAGTGGGTTTTTTTGTTTTTAATTTGAGAGAGCGTGATTAAAGCTTAGATGTGAGGAATACAGGTGTGTTATAGTGAATCAGATGCACCAGATACCATGCTGTACATCTGAAACATTGACGTCCAGCCTGCCCAAGTATCAGACAGCATGGAAGGGACGTCTACAGGCAGGGCTTGCACTATTACATTCTCATTTCAAATCATTCGAGTATAAAAACAAGCCCTGAGAGAAGTAAGTTTGTAGGTGGGCAAAGTTACATGTGGTAACTAGTACAGGTGTAAAAAACTTTGTTCACCCATTTGGTTACCTGTAGTTATATGTGTAGGTGACAAAGGCCTTCACTTACACCTGTCCCTTGTGGTTACCTGTAGTTACCTGTGTAGGTGACAAAGGCATTCACTCACACCTGTCCCTTGTGGTTACCTGTGGTTACCTGTGTAGGTTACAAAGTTCAGTTTACACCTGTCCCTTGTGGTTACCTGTAGTTACCTGCGTAGGTTACAAAGTTCCGTTTACACCTGTCCCTTGTGGTTACCCATAGCTACCTGTGTAGGTTACAAAGTTCCGTTTACACCTGTCCCTTGTGGTTACCTGTAGTTACCTGTAGTTACCTGTGTAGGTTACAAAGTTCCGTCTACACCTGTCCCTGTTAAGTAGTGTAGAAGATTTCTCACCTTCCCCAGTGTGATACTTCACTAACGACATACCATACTGATGCAAGTAAATTGGAAAGTTTAGTGTCGGTAGAGATCCAGATCGGTGAATTTAGGTCACATTTGCCGAGTTATTACGTCTGACAGAAAGAAAAAAAAATCTATTGTCCATCACACAAGTCATTGTCCTGAGGGTTTATGTGGAAAAGTCTGTACCTGATAAAAAATAGTGCACTTCTGATGCAAATTAGGACCTGGTCGTCTGCAGGCTCTGCTCCTTATCAAGACAAACGTACGACACCAAAGTAACAGCTCCCAAGGGTTTCCTTTGAAGAACAAATGAACTGCATTGTTGGAAATTAAATTCCTGGCTCTGTCACTTCCAGTGAACCCTATTATGTGTGTGTGTACTGACAATTCTCGGCACAATTCACCTGATTTTGTTAAACTTATAAGGAATCGTTGCATGGACCGTAGCGTGGCATCAGTCTGTTTTAGTGAGAATCAATTTCAAACTTAAATTTACAGTGGTTTTCCTTACCTAGTTCTCCAAGAAGGAATTAGTTACAATTTTTTCCCTTTTGGTATTCAGAAAGCATGAGGGTAATTAATGGTGAAGCTGGAGAAAATATCGTTGTGACGTGGAGCCATGAAAATCGGACGTGGAGCCATAAAAATCGGGATGTGTTATCATGATTTAGTAGAGAGAAGATATATCTTTTGAAAATAAGATCAATACCCGCTCCAATAATTGCTGAAACGATTCGTATTTACAATTTTAAGAGGTGTTGGAGAACACTTTTCCCATCAGTTGGGGTTAATAACATTGATCAGTGTTTCCAAGACATTTGACTGAATCGTCTTAAGAATAATCCTGTTTTCTATTTATTCATTTTTAGGTCACCTGAGCTTTGCTCAAGTGACCTATTCCAATCACTTTCCGTCCGTCGTCGTCCGTCGTGCGTAAACTTTTTACATTATCAACTTCTTCTCAAGAATCAGTGGATGGAATTTTTT